CAGCGCTTCCTAACTGCCCAGGCCCAAGGGTAGGAAAGAAGGGACTCCTGTGCTGGACTGGCCCTGAGCAGGGGATGGGTTGGCAGGGTGTACAGGCTCATCCGATTTTGAATCCTGCCAGGATACTAGAGCTCTTATGAAAGAGGACCAAAGAGTATTAAGCAGGGCTTAGTTTCATATCACCCCTAGCACACCACTCCCTTCTAAGACATTGTTGTGTTAGGTAACTTCATTCCCCCCTCCTGTGGGGACTGTCATTCCCACGGCTGGAAGCACGCTTGGAGCTGTGTGTGCTTTTGCTTTGTCCAAAGAAGAGAACCACGCTTCTGTGGAATCATGAGTCCAAAATTAAATTATTTTGCAATCTGTATTTGGGATATTTTCCCAGACTTCACAGGGGTAAGGGATGGGTTTCTAGGACAAATGCGGGTTTCTGTTAGTAGATTTATCCTTTACCTGTTTATCTTCTTCCTACATACTTTTTCCTTGCTGAAACATACAGTTATGTTACAGATGGATTTATGGAGCAGTTGCTTATTTTTGTTTTCTGCTGAGGGCTTCTAATATGATTGAAATCTGCATTTCTCCTGTGGTGTTTAATCTGACTGGTCGTCTTTGGGGCGCTTGCATCCCGTCACTATCTGTACCATCTTTAGGTGTGCTTCTTTGTTAATGTGCTTCAGATACGGTTCAAGCCTGGTTGCTCATTTTCCACCTGTATTTAATGCTGATAACGCAATTGGTGACTATAACACAGGTTTTCAAGAGTGTATATGTAGGTGTGTGTATATGAGGGAAGAAGCACGTGTCTGGGTGCGTGCTGACAAGCATGTGTGACCGAGACGGTCTGTGCATTGTTGCTTGAAATGTGTGTAACACAAGCTCGCTCCATCTAACTCATTTGAGGTGTGCAGTGAGGCAGCATGGGTGTCTGCAGGTCCTGAAACTACCTTCTGCTCCGGGCGGTGGTGCGAGCACACAATGAGCTATGCTCCTGTGGACTGTCCCCTGGATGCTGGTGGAGTTCGGGCCCTGCTTGGCTGGAGTGATGTGAGCGAACAAGATTTGTACACACAGGGACAGCTCTCCTTGTGATTTCCCAGTGAGGAGGAGCTCTGAGTGCCCACACCCCTCCATGTGCAAGTGGACCAGGGTATATGTGCTGGGGGAGCCTGCAGCGTGAGAGAGCAGGTGAGCCGGTGCAAGTGAGCACGGGTGTGTGTGACACCGTGCGTCTGAGCGTCTGCGACCTCCTGCCGCAGCCGAGTGCTTGGATCTCGGGCCGTGCTCCAGCTGTGTAAATACATTGCTTAACAAATTGAAGGCTCTGGTTAATGATTGCCATTAGCGCAGGGCCCATATTAGGCTCCATTTTGTGCGCGTTACCCGGCTGCCCGAATGCCATTAGAGTGAGCGCACCAGGCTTTAATGTCAGGCGCGGAGTGTTTGCGCTCTGAGGAGCCTCTGCAGGAGCTGGCCTGGGGTTGCTCAGCAGGGGATGTTAGGCAGGTTTATGGCAAGCTCCCTGGGGGCATGTTGCAGCAGCAGCGACTCTGACAGCCTTCTGTAGTGAAAGCAATGTCCCAGGCATCGCAGGCTGGTGCTTGGTGCCCACAAGAAAGGGCAGGCTGGCTAGGACACTTGCCCAGGCTACAGGGAGGCAGCTGGCCCGAGCGATGGGGTGGGAGGAACATGTTCCCCTCTCTGGCAGCTGGCCCTGTCCGCCTACTTTCTGGGAATACATCTACAGAGCTTTCCCTTGTGCTGCTCATCAGAGCCAGACCACCACATGCTGTGATCCCAAATGGTGCTGTGGACTAAGCCAGATCAGGCCTGGTCAGCCCTAGAGCAGAATATGAGCTCCAAAGAAAAGGTGCCCTTCTGCAAGAAGGGAATGCAGTGATTTGGTGCTGGTGCTCGCTCTTCCCTCCAGCGAGGTGCCTAACAGAGATGCTGCCCTTGTCAGTCATGGAGTAGGTGCAAGACAGAGCCGTGCTGCTCAGGGTTGTAAATGACTGCAGATCCAGTCAGGGTGTTGCCATGAATGAGGGCAGTTGCATTACTGCCTCTCCTGTTACGGCCTACGGTTGGACACAGGGACCTTCTCACCCTGCCCTCTTCTGCTGTTGTGGTGGCTGCGCTGTCGAAAGCCAGCCATCGTCTTGTGGCTGCTTGAGAGGTGCCATGATGAAGAGGCAGGATCGGGTGCAGTTTCAGCCTTACTTTCCGCTGCCTGACCACCCGTGAATCTCGGCATCCTCCCATGTCTTCTCATGTCCCTTACCCTTCACCTCAGGCCTTGTTCTGTGCCCATCTCCCTCGCGGTGCTCTGGGAAGGCTCTCTGCCCCACGCCATGGCCCCAGAAGGCGGCCCAGAGAGAAACCCCAGGGCACCTTCCCACCCAAAGCCTGCTGAGTTTTGTGGATGACTTTTGTCTGTCTTCTGGCCTCGTCTTTCCCCAGCCTCTTCTCCATCTGCTGTCCGCCAGAAAAGAACTGATTTCAGCTGCCTTCCCTAATCCTGTCTGGCATTTCAAAATGGAGGGGACTGCCAGGTTCTTTGTTCCCGTTCCCTCTTGGCACTGGCAGGGGACCTTCCCTGCTCTGGAGAAGGACAAATGTGCTGATTTATTCTGCCCCTTAGCTTTGAATAGGGGTTGCTATGTTACCCTCCAGCTCTGAGCCTTGCCAGAGCACACACCGTGTGTAACCCCACAGCAGGTGGCTATTGAGTAAAGGCCCTTAAATCTGCCTCTCTTGTTTCTTATGCTGCTGGCCAAGGTGGCAGGGGGATGTAGCAGGGCATGATTTGCTGGCTGAAACTCCAGGCACAGTTGATGCCAAGCACCATGTTGGCATTTTCCATTCTCAAGTGCCCATCTTAATTTGCAGAGGAGGTACCAACTAGGCAGGAACACGCTGCCCACACTGGCCTTTAAAGAGGCCCTTTCTGGCGTGAAGGCTGCCCCACGGGGCTGAGCCGTGGCCCGTGAGGCAGAGGCTTCCAGATCCTGCTGCACTGACTGCAGCACCGGGGGCCTCGCTCGGACGCTTGCATAGCATACTCAGATTTGGCATGACTGTTTGGGTAAGCCTGACTGTTGTCCTGACTTTGGCTGGAATAGGGTTAATTTTCACGAGAAGCCAGGAGAGGACACAGCCGGGCTGGCTGACCCAAACTGGCCAAACAAACAGGGTGTTTGATGCTGTGTGCAGTCATGCTCAGTTTAGAGGTGGGGAGCTGGCTGGGGGGGAGGTTAATCACCGCCGGGAAGCGTGCTGGGCATTGGGTGGTGAGAGAGTTGCCCTGTGTATTCCCTTGGTTTTGTATAGTCTTTCTATCAGTATTATTGCTGTTAGCGTTTGCGTCCTTTGCTGTTCTGTTAAACTGTCCTTATTCTGACCCACAAGTTTTGCCTTTTTCTTCCCATTCTCCTCCCCACCCTGCTGAGGGAAGGGGCGACTGAGCGGCTGCGTGGTCCTTTGTTGCTGGCTGAGACCAAACCACGACACCATTTGAGCAGCTTTCTGGGAAAAGTTGCATGTGCTTCTCCTGTGATGACAAGTTAAAAAGCCAGCCAGGATAGAGGCAGGGGGGATCAAAATATCACCTTGTTGTGCTGGTATGTGGTTGCAGCTGTCTGACAGACCTGACTTTGAAGTGCCAAAATGAACATCTGTCTTAGAGGAGACAGCAGAGTTGGTCATTGTTCCTAAAAAGCCTAATTCTTTGAGGAACAGTCCCTTAGTGCAGACTGAGAAAGGCAAGCCACGTGTATTGCTAGGAACAGCCTAGAAGAGGCAGCAGGGAGACATATAACACCAGAGCCCAGGCCAGATCTCCTCTCACTGGACTTTTTCTAACCTCCATGAAAACAATGGTAAAGTCCTTCCCAGCAGTGATGGGAGAGAGATGAAGGTAGGGGACATTTGCATAAGTTTCTGAGCTTCTGAACTTCCCAGCGTGTGGCTCTCAGTAGCTCACACCTATCCCTGGAGAATGAACTCTGCAGGATCGTGGCTAAATGCTCTGCTGGCCCATAGGGCGATGAGACCTCCTCTCCTGGCCAAAGAGTGTCTGTGAAGCAGCAGCCCCACTGGTGCCTCTGCTTGCATAAGGAAAGAAACAAAACAAAGTTCCTAGGAAGTAAAAGGAAAACACTCCCTATTTAACAGAGTGGAATCACTTCTTTGACACTGTAATTCCTCTGGGATCCACAGGTCCCAGCACAGCTTAGTGGGGAATGTCCTGTCCCGCAGTGCAGGGAGTGCATGGGTGTTTCTGGCCTCCTTAGTCTGGATCTGCCCTGATGATGCTCTGAACACTGGGAGCAAAAGGGGAGAGAATGGTCTTTGGCCATCGCACAGACCAGACTGTAAGGCCTTCAGGTGGGACCTTTTGCTCTGAGCATCCCTCAAGCCATTCCTCATTGAACTGTGGTGTCTGGAGCCAAAACTCTGGAGAGTTTCAGTGTGTCTGGGACTTCATAGATTAAGAAAGGGTGATTTCTAAATCCTTACTGGAGAGTTGTTGAAAAACAGGACGGAAGAATGAGTCTTCAGAGATTACTTGGTTTATCTCCTTGCCCTAAAAGTGTAGTAGATCCTTCTTCAAGGCCAAGAGAATTTGAATGTAGCTTTTTCATGTGGTACCTTCTGGCAGCGATGCTGTTTTGACTCTGGGACTCTAAATGCATCGTGGATATCCTGTTTCACATAGTGGCTGCAGGTGCCATGGGTCCTGGTCATGTGGATCCCAGGGACCTCAGTCCTGGAGGAGGAGACCCACATGCTTTTTTCTCGAGGGTTAGGAGCAAGGGCATGAGCAAAGCGCTTCACTGCTTACGTTAGTGCCATTTGCTGCAAGTGCAAGCATGACCACCCATTCAGGGGTGTGTAATTGTACCAGAGGGGGATGTGACCAAGCAATCAAAGCAAGAACTTCACTGTTTGCAGCTCATATGAGCACTGACTTCATCCCTCTTTTTATTCCCCTGCAGAGCATTAATGGAGGCCGCCCACCGCCCCACTTTGTGTATGATCCATCCACCTTTGCCTTCCGTTCACTCAGCACCTTGAAGCCGCTGAGCCCGATAGCTCCAGTGGAAGAACCGTCATGTGCCTACTGAAGGAGTTTATCCAAAAACCTCAGGAACTATCAACCAACCACCTGCCTGGCAAGGAGAAGAGGAGGTGGCAATACCCAAGGGGATGGGTGGGAGAAGGAGATGACAATGACACTTCTTTGTAATACAGCCTCTCTGGCAGCAGGAAACAAACGGCTTTGCAGCAGTGCCTGTTTTTGTACCATTGCCGTATCTGAATAGTGGCGAAGAGAGATTTTTGTCTTTCAGGACACAGCAAACCAGTCAGATCCACAAACTGCAAGGGCAGCTACCAAGGCAGTGTCAAACATGGGGGATGGTGGTAGTTGAAGATATCCCTGAGGGGCTCAGGGGCTAGTATGGCCTGCATGGCAGCAGGGATGAGTGATCAGGGCATGAAACCAAGGCCAGTCAGTTTCCCAAGATTACCTGGGTCTGCAGTGCTTTGCTATAGACCTGACCCCGCTCCCACTCAGAAGTGAGCTCAGGTTTGGAGACAGAGGGTTGCCTGCAAAGCAAGAAGATCCCTCTCTGAGATTGCTATAATTGTATTGGCTTCAAGCTCTCTTGAGTGGAAGATGCTAGGGAGAGGGAGGTGGGAGGGGGTAACTGGCACATCTACCTGCATGTTCCAACTGGTCTGCTGGCAACTCAGTGATATCATCTAAAATGGGATTGAAATAGGAAACGTGAGCCTCCCGCTTGTAGATCAGGGATTAGAATAAAATTCTAGAATGGAAGGTCTGTGTTCAGCAATCCAAGAAAACGCAGTGGCCATCCTTAGTCCTCTCGGCATCGACAGAGAGAAGAACTTGGGGGTGACTCTGTGCTCCTGGGTCTCCTCTCTGCTGAGGTTGTCTGTGCTCTGGGATATGCAGCACTTCTCCCTAGTGTTGTCCTGATACTGTGCTGCTCTGACATGACGCTGAAGGTAACTAGCATTGCCAAACTCAACCAAATCTAATGTGTCCAGCAAGCTTTACACTCCCCTGTTATGCTGGCTGTTAAATTCAGGTAGACCCTCCCCTTGTACCAGTGGAACAAGTATTCCCAGATGTACCATGGAGTGGGAGAAAGAGGTCTCTGTTTTGTGGCCATCTGTTGGTGGAAGAAGTGGGAAGGGAGTTAGGGTGAAGCTGTGGGGCATTTCTCCATCGACACACCTAAGGCAGTTAGTACTGTGCTAGGCCTTGCTACCACTGGAGTTTGACTGGGATCTGGCCTTGAGGCATTTATGTATTTTGTGCTACAAGGCAACAGCTAATAAAGCAAGCTCTTGCCTCTCTTGGTGAGGCAGAGGAACAAGGTGTTTCCCCTTGCTGCACCTGGTGGAGACAGTAAGCTCTTTGTCTTGGCATTGCCCACCTTGAGCCTCTGACTGGCTGGGTCAAAGGGGGAGTGAATTCTTTAGTTCTTGTCTGGTGGATCAAGAGGAGCAACCGTCAGTAACACAAAATATTTTTTGTTTCTAAATTTCCTCCTCCTCTGTGGAGGTCTTTGATGCCACTCTTTGGATGAGACCAATGGTCAGTCCAGCTGCCAGCAGGAGGCCACACAGTGAACCAGCATTCACTGGTGCATTCTGGGTGCTTCACTGAGACCCTTGGGGAAAGCTCAAAGGCTGTCTAGGCCGAAGGACCTGAATCCCCCACCCCTGTCCTCCTCCCTCCCCAGCTTCCTCTCGCTCAGGCAGGCAGAGTGGCTGGGCAAGGCAGTGAGGGGACATCTGTCCTGATGCTGCCCCAACTCTGCCTGCCCTTTGGCTCCAGATTGTGCCACCCCCTGCACCAGCACCACCTCCAAGGGGTCGCTTGCGTTTGTTGGTGAGGCACCTCTGCAAGAGCCTCGTGGTTCCCTGCAAGAAGTCCCATCTTCCAACAGAGGCCGATTCCTCTGCTGATTCCTCCTGCCTCTGTGGAGTCTCTGCTTATCTCGTTGTGATGGCACACCTCAGCTTTTTAACTGCTGCCAGATGAAGCTGACCAGTGCAGGACAGGAAGCGTTGCCCCTTCGGACCAAACCCCTGTGCTCAGGAGAAGGGACAGCCATAGCCTGGTACCTGTCTGAAGAGGCACGTTCCCCCTCAGATGGCTGGAGCTGCAGCCCTCGCGTGGCCCCATGCCCCCAGGCTTTGCTCAGTGGGAGCTGCCGAGGTGCTGGGCCCCCCAGAGACGTGTTTCTGCTAGCCCGTGGTGTGGCAGGCTGCCTTCCCCTGGGTGGGAGTGGGGAACAGGGGCGTCCTGCCGGTATCGTTGCCTTTTAGTACTTTTGTAACTTTTCTCTGTCTTTTCTTTTTCAATCAGAAGGAAAAATAAAAATAATAAAAAAAACCAACAATGAAATAAAGTGTAACAGCTGCTACCTTCGCACCTCTGCTGGGTCCATGCGTTTGCCATCCGTCTTCTGGGTGTTTGTGGGCAGGGGTGTAGGAGCGGATGGAGCAGAGTGAGCTGTGACGCTGCCAGGCCCAAGCACTCCCAAAGCCCAAGCCCTGTCTGCAAGAGAATGGCTTTGAAAACCAACCAGCAAGAGCTTTTCTGAAACAGAATGAATGCCCGGTTCTTTGCATACAAGAGGAGCTCCCTGTGCCACTGCTCCCTTTGAGGCCAGGCCTGTTGTCATATATTGGCCCTCACTGGTGCTCCCCCCACTAAGAAGGTGTTTTAGCTTTTGAGTGACCTGCCTGTTGCTTGGGGGTTGAACGTGACCTGGCTGGAGGTCTCCATACCCCAAAACAGAAGGGTGGGTGACCACACAGCTGGTCTTTGGCTCATAATTTTAGCCTCAGTAAGTCTTACACCTCTGTCCCAAGATTCTCAGCAGCCCTTTTGCTCACACCCATACCGCTCATGCTCTTCCTCAGTAGCGTAAATCTAGCTCACCCCTTTCTCTGGATCTTTCTCTAAAAACCCCATCTCAGGTTCTTGTGCATTCCTCACCCCTTGCTGTCTCCTTGAGATAATTCCTGTGTCTCCTCCGAACTTCTAGCTCTATATCTTAACTGCCATCTCACAAGGCTATTACCTGTGTGCCTTTTTCCAAGCCCTCCTGGGAGATACCAGCTTAAATTCCCTTAGCAGTGCTACTTAGACCCATTCCCAGGAGGCCTTTTCTGCTCTGATCTCCTCTATGCTTCCTGCCAACTCTCTGATCTTGAAATCCTCCCCTCTCTGTCAGATGCAGCTCATTGCTAATTGGCCTTGGGCTGTTTTCCAAGGGTTGTAAGGTGGACTTGCTGGCTCCCCCAAGCCCTTTGCTCTTGTACCTCCCATACAGAATTGCCTTTTTCTATGATGTTTCTTCCAAAACAGCCTGATTGCTCAGCGCACCCACCTTCGGGGCCCTAGATGCTGTTCAAAAACACGGTGGCTGCTATGGCTCCACAAACCCTGATCATCTGTAGGCTTCTGCCAGGTCAAGCTTAAGCTTGCTTCTAAGTATATAAATGCATACAGAGGGATGCTGTACTGGGTTTGCGTGGCAAGGGTTTGATAGAAGGGGGCTACAGGGGTGGCTTCTGTGAGAAGCTGCCAGAAGCTTCCCCATGTCCGATAGAGCCAATGCCAGCCGGCTCCAGGATGGACCCGCTGCTGGCCAAGGCTGAGCCCATCAGCGACGGGGGTCGCGCCTCTGGGATAGGATGGACCCGCTGCTGGCCAAGGCTGAGCCCATCAGCGACGGTGGTAGCGCCTCTGGGATAACGTATTTAAGAAGGAGGGAAAAAAAATGCAGGGTGACACAGGAGTGAGAATAAGTGAGAGAAGCAACTCTGCAGACCCCAAAGCAGTGAAGAATGAGGGGGAGGAGATGCTTCAGGCACCAGAGCAGAGATTCCCCTGCAGCCCATGGAGAAGACCATGGTGAGGCAGGCTGTCCCCCTGCAGTCCATGGAGGTCCATGGTGGAGCAGATATCCACCTGCAGCCTGTGGAAGGGACCCCACGCTGGAGCAGGTGGATGTGCCTGAAGGAGGCTGTGACCCCGTAGGGAGCTCGTGCTAGAGCAGGCTCCTGCCAGGACCTGCGGAGAGAGGAGGCCAGAGCAGGTTTGCTGGCAGGGCTGGTGACCCTGTGGGGGACCCGCGCTGGAGCAGCCTGTTCCTGAAGGGCTACAAGCCGTGGAAGAGACCCACGCTGGGGCAGTTTGTGGAGAACTGCAGTCAGTGGGAAAGAGCCATGCTGGAGCAGTTCATGGAGGACTGTCTGCTGTGGGAGGGACCCCAGACAGGAGCAGGGGAAGAGTGTGAGGAGGAAGGAGCGGCAGAGATGTGTCATGAACTGACCGCAAGCCCCATTCCCGTCCCCCTGTGGCGCTTGGGGGAAGGAGGTAGAGAAAATCGAGAGTGAAGTTAAGCCCGGGAAGAAGGGAGGGGTGGGGGGAAGGTGTTTTTAAGATTTAGTTTTTAGTTCTCGTTACCCTACTCTGATTTGAGCCAGCAGTGTGCCCAGGTGGCCAAGAAGGCCAAGGGCATCCTGGCTTGTATCAGGAACAGTGTGGCCAGCAGGAGTAGGGAGGTGATCGTGCCCCTGTACTCGGCACTGGTGAGGCCGCACCTGGAGTACTGTGTTCAGTTTTGGACCCCTCAGTACAAGAAGGACATTGAGGTGCTGGAGTGTGTCCAGAGAAGGGCAACGAGGCTGGTGAGGGCTCTAGAGAACAAGTTTTACGAGGAGTGGCTGAGGGAACTGGGGCTGTTTAGTCTGGAGCAGAGGAGGCTGAGGGGAGACCTTATTGCTCTCTACAACTACCTGAAAGGAGGTTGTAGTGAGGCAGGTGTTGGTCTCTTCTGCCAGGTAATTAGTGATAGGACAAGAGGCAATGGCCTCAAGTTGCACCCAGGAGGTTTAGACTGGATATTAGGAAAAATTTCTTCACTGAAAGAGTGGTCAGACATTGGAACAGGCTGCCCAGGGAGGTGGTGGAGTCCCCATCCCCGGAGGTGTTTAAAAAATGTGTAGGTGTGGGACCTTGGGATATGGTTTAGTAGGCATGGTGGTGTTGGGTGGATGGTTGGACTTGATGATC